CAAAAAATTCATGTTTTGGGCGTACATACATAGCGGCGGAGGTATGAGGAAGAAAAAATTCCTGAAGGTCGACAAGATAAAAATGTTTTTGCTTGGTTTTTATGACCCACAGTTCCTACCATCCCCTGGATACTTTGTTGACCAAGGCATTTTCAGTGTGACTCTAGTCATTCTAGCACGAAGGATATTCGTCCTAAACCTCATAATGTGCCCAGCCATCATCGAGAAAACTTAAAGTAAAATCCGACAGAAAGTGGGCGTTGTTGGGCATTTGTTTAGCGACTAAGATGGTTCCACCAGGAAACTGAGCCCGTAAAGAAAACGTTCGGAGTCCTTTATGCAAGTAAAAAGGGTATCGCGGTCGGTCGGTTCTTAAAAGTAAAAGAAAGGAAAATGAAATTACCCACCATATTGTGTATCGACGGGTGTCCATTAGTAAGCCCGAAGTGACATATTAAAAATGAAATATGAAGAAATTCTTAACTCATATATTTATGGATTGTTTGGGCGCTTTATTTTAGTAAAAGTTTAACAACTCGATAAGCATAATATGCAAGCTAAATGATAGATAACCTAAAATAATTGGTTAAATATACGAACGAAATCCGATCCATCTGACATGCCATCAGAGAACAATCTTATTAAATGTTAACGAACATTTTTAAATGAACTTTCAGTCGAAACAGATTACTTAAGTGGGATCGTTATGCCGATTATCATACAGTCTTATCCCAGGATGCTTAAGCTGCACTGGAATATGTGTAAGATGGCCTAATTTTCTACCGGCTGAGAAAGAGAATGATTATATTTGTACATGTTTTCTATGAGATATTATTGTATGTTTAAGGGCATCAAGAATCAATGGGCAAAATACATACTAATAACGTAGTCATTTCTACAGAGTACAGTTTTTGCATGAAGCTGAAAGATGTTCTTCCGGTATCCTGGGCTAACTGAATTATTATAGAATTATGCTGCAGGACGATTAGTTTAACAATCCCGCAGACGAAAACGCATTTTTGAATTTCGGTTGAAATTTCATGAATTAGCCCGTCTACTGCAGTCGCACCAAGTCATATAACAACGAAGTGAAATGAAAATAGAATTTCGGATCATTCTTTCCACGCAGTGCTTCTTTGTCAAATATCGGAGGGTATTTGTCTTTTGGGGACCATATGAGAGCGCTGCTGGGTCATAAGACAGCATGTTCCTCGTGACTGGCGATGGGACAAGGAGCAAACGCATATTCTAAAGTGTTTTTTCCAGGATAAAAGATCTTCTTGCAGTAAACCCTTTGCCATTCGCGTTAGGTTACCTTCTACATCAATGCGAACTGCCAGTGTGCAATAATCAGTGTACTTAATTTTCCATTAAACTAAAATTAACTTCGGTTTATGGTATGCCACGTGAAGCATCCTTGTCCTTCTTACTAATGCATTTCTTACAGCATAGGCTCGACCTACTTGATGGAGAGTCTATTCTACCGTCCGAAGTTGTGGATCAAAGGAGAAGAAGATGAAAATGTTACTACGCACAAGATTGCATGAACGCGCCTTGAAGGCATTTACGAACTCCACTAACCAGACTCACTTGAACCCGGTATGTTTGAATTATTATGGAAATTATTCAAATGCCCGCAAAAACTAAGTTATCTACCACGACTGATGTTTACATTTGTAAGCAAACAGTGCCAGCATTGGGAATTCACAGTAAGCCTCTTAAATCAGGTAAATCTCGCAGTTAAATAAAACCATCTTAGAGATTTTCGCAGGAGTTTATCCTTTAATGCTCAGATTGCTTCTTAAACTGCACCCGAGGCATTAATTGCCGTAATGGCACTGTCGTTGTTGTTTCTTGACGTACAGTGCGTGACCTATCTCATTAAATGTTGGCTGTAATTCTGAAATGCGTTTTCGATTAGGAAGGATCACTTAGTCGCAGTTGTAAGACTAATTATCTTGCGGCATACCCATATAACATTCCGGACTCCGCAGAATGTCGGCTTTTAAACGCACTTCTTTTCAATCTCCTGTAGAAACCGTACTTGGTAAAAAATGACTACTTAAGTAGCATGCATTTTCCCATTGATTTCCGATGGTCTTGGAAATTCAAATATATGTTATAGAAAACACAAACGAAAATACGCTTTCTTTTAGTCAATCAATATAGAATCACGTCTTCTTCATATTTCATACTTAAGGAAGGAGAATAATTAGGTTTTAAGAAAGTTTTTTAATTGCCGAAAAATTTAGAGCCTGATCATTCGTTGCATTAGCGCTAAGTGATTACACTCTACAAGGTGCATGCGTTCCGCGTAAAGAAAATCCCATATTTTCTATGTCGTTAAAGAGATATCATACAGGGTCCATAAAAATTTTGCAATGGATGCGGACCATGTTGTACATTTCATGAGGAGCAGTGGTAAACGGCCAGGTACGATGCTATGTGAATGGACATATCGCGGTCCTAAAAGGTCTCATAATAAGAAACTTTTTTAAAACCTAATTATACTCCTTTCTTAAGTGTAAAATATAAAGAAGACTTGATGCTCTATTAATTGGCTAAAAGAAAGCGTATTTTTGTTTGTGGTTTCTATAAAATATATTTGAATTTCCAAGACCATCGAAAATCAATGGGAAAATGCATGCTACTTAAGTAGTCATTTTTTAACCGAGCACGCTTTCTAAAGGAGATTGAAAAGGAATGCATTTAAAAGCCGACATCCTGCCGAGTCCAAAATGTTATAAGAATATGCCTTAAGATAAGCATTATCACAACCGCGACCAAGTAATCCTTCCTAATCGAGAACGCATTTCAGAATTTTAGCCAACATTTCATGAGATAGGTCACGCACTGTATTAATTAATCGACAGCCGAAAAAAACGAATAGGCTTTTCCATGAAAGCAGCCAAGAGGGGGATGCGATTACTGAAAAAGAAGTGTAATTGTATGAATTTACGGATTCTCACTTGAATCCATCATAAGAAACGTTGCAGAAATTGATTGAAAATGCACAAAGAGCACAGGTATTATAAGACGCAGTTGTCCGACAGCCAAAGTAATTAACAGCACTCGCTTTTGTCCCTGCAGGATCGTAGATGACGTAATGATTGCTTGACAGTCGGAACATAAGTTCTTTACTCTCGTGATTTCATCAACGCCAGTTTGGTCTAGGGTCGGCATGGGTGCGCATGTTTAAAAAGGCAGTGCATTAATGTAAAGCACAGACACTTTAAGTTTACTTAGGAGGCACGCTTTCACATTTAAAACAGATCGGTCAACAACTCTGTTTTTGCTGAAGTCAGGGTGACATTTAAGAAAGCCCCCTTATGTAATGTGCTTTGTAAAAACCTACTTGAACCTGTGAGAGAAACATATCGACTGAAATTTGCTCCTCACTTACACTGTCCGTAAAGTTATAGCACGTTTTAAAAAGTGATTTTTGCTCACACGAGCATGCCAACATTCTGGTTAATCTTAAAAACTGTGTAGCCATTGACGGGTGAAAGAACACAATGTCACTTAATTTCATGCAAAAAAGCTACTGACGGCAAGATAACCCTATGTAGGAGAGGAGTTGGTAGAACAGCTCTCAACAACATGCCTGTTTTGGAGAAGAAGACAAGATCGCTGGGACAAGAATTTTCTTAGTTTACCGTTTGGGATTCCTGTTGGAACCCATCATCAGTGACAAAAAATCAGGTAGGGGTTGTCGACGGAGGCTTGCTGATCGACTTCCGTGCGCTCGGTCTGTTGAAGGTCATGCTTCTAAGCAGGTGAAAAAGAAGCCAGTCTCGGCAACCGCGATGGTGCACGTCTTACCTGTAGTCGCGGAACAACACGAGTTCTGACGTCACCTTTTGTCAAGGCAACTGCACTCAAAGGCGTGTGTCACAGCTGAGTGAATTCTCAATTTTTTCCAATACTACTACTACTACATAAACGAATATACTTCTATCCCAACGACCCATTTATGGGAGATTTGGCATATTTTTCAAACTGCTTAAACATGTCAAATCGCTTGTGTTATTTAATTGCTCAGCAATTTTCCTGTACACCAAAAAACGACTTGAGGCTGTAGCTTTAAAGTAATTATGAAATCGAAAATTTTGTGATGTCAAACAAACGAAATAAATTCACATACCTGCATAGCAATCACATAAAACATCTCAAACAACATTTGTTTTTGATTTTTTCTATATATGCTGATGTTAGAAAGCTTTATTTAAATTGAACTCCTTCTTTTGACTCGCAAACTGTCCACTTTTTACCCGAAAACACCTGCCAACCTACCCAAAAATAGGATAAGGAAACGTGGTAGCAAAGCATAATTAGGACTGAAAATCTGGTGTTAAAATGCCGACGTCGTGATAAAGGAAATGGAAAAAAAGATAATCAGACCACCTCAGCGCGTTCACCATATCCCATCCAAGCAGTAACGACCTTGCAACTTTTCGTTCGCGGCGCGAGAAATGTCCTCCAGATGTTTAAAGTTCCGTAGGTCGTCGTGGATGCGCATATGGCCGAATAGGCCCATGCGATGACTTAAAGTGCGAGGAAAGTGTTGACAGTTTAGTCGAGCTTGGTGGGAATAGGTTGGTGCCCCAGGCACTGGTTCTCCAATCTCTGTGCGATGGATTCGCAAGTGGCCGACCAGGCCGATGCGTGAGGTGAACGTGCGTAGACAATATGGGCAAGAGAGGTCGACGGTGTCGGTGTAAGTTGCGGGTAGGGTGATGGGGGCGCGGGTTGATTAAGTGGGCGTGAGGTGTGGCATGATGGAAGAATCGGTACTGCGCCAATTCCGCTCTCGTGGATGCGTATGTGGACGAATGAACCCATGCGATACTTGAAAGTGCGAGGCCAGTGTGGGCAGTGGAGGCGAATGCGGTGGTTGTAGGTTGGTGCTACAGGCACTGGCTCGCCAGTCTGTGTGCGATGGATTCTCAAGTGACCGTTCAGGCCGATGTGCGTGGTGAAGGTGCGGTCGCAGTGAGGGCAGGTATAGTCCTGATCCTCATCGCTGGAGTCGGAGGTAGCGGGGGTGGTGTCTGGGGTTGTGTCAGGGTTAGTGATGTGCGAGATGGTCGCATGAACGGCCGTCGTCGCAGCAGTGGAGGAGGAGGAGGGGGGAAGGAGGAGGAGGAGGAGGAGGAGGAGGAGGAGGAGGAGAAGGAGGCGGAGGAGGAGGATGGAAGTGGTGGTTCAGAAGAATTGTCAGACTTAGTTGGTGGCGGAGAAGCCGAGGAAGAGGCGGGTGGAGGGATGGCTGATGGTGCGGTCCGCGAGGTACATATAGTTGATCCGAAGATGTCTAACAAGTCCGATTAGAGCCCGAAATGTCCGTTGACATCGAGGACACGTTGGTAGCGGTTGTGCGTCTGCGTTGCGTACTGAGCGCAGTTGGAATTTGCGGGCTTCGCGTTTCGCTTTGGTGGCGGCGATGCGGTTGGCTTCGTGGATAGCAGCGCCCGTCTTCACTGTCCTCCTCTAGGTCGGACGATCGTGGGCGATCTCTTCCCAGTTGGTCGGGTTGATTTGCCGGCGCTTCAAGGAGGACTTCAGAGTTCCCTTTTATCGACGAATTTGACAACCATGACGGCGAGAACCCGTCGCGACGTCTCCGTAGAAGAGTCGTTTGGGTAGTCGCTCGTCGTCCATGCGTACCAGGTGGCCGCTCCAGCGCAGCTGAATTTGCCTCAGTATGGCGTAGATGCTGAGGATTCCCGTCTGCGTGTCGATGACCAGACGGAAGTTCTCGCAGGCGGCGGAGAACAGGTCCATGCTCCGTTGCATCTCCTCTTCCGAGGTGGTGTTCAGGGCGCAGTCGTCGGCGAAGAGGAGTTCGTGAACGGTGGTTGTGGATACGCGCGATCGGAAGTGCATCCGTCGTTGATTCAGCAGGTGACCGTCCGTCCTGTAGGCGATGCGGATCCCGGGGCGTTCTTTGCGGTAGGCGTCCATCAGCATGGCAGAGAACATAAGACTGAAGAGGGTAGTCGCCAGCACGCATCCCTGCTTCACTCCGTTGGTCATTGCCAATGCCTCTGAGACAGTTCCGTTGTTCGTGACTCGCGCCATCATACCGTCGTGCAGCTGACGCACCATCTGAGTGAATCGCTTCGGACTGCCGAATTTCTGCACGATCTTCCACACTTCTTCACGATTCCCCGTGTCGAAGGCTTTCGTCAGGTCCACAAATGTAGAGTACAGGTGGGTTCGCATCGCCTGCACTTCTCCTGAAGTTGACGGGTGGCGAAGATCATATCCGTAGTCCCACGATGACAACGGAAGCCGCACTGGCCTTCCGGCAGAAAGCCCTGTTTCGGATGGTTATAGAGGCGGCTGAAAGGATTCAAGCGAAGATCTTCCCGGCGATGTTCAGCAAGGAGATGCCGCGGTGATTTTCGCAGAATTGGCGATTCCATTTTCGCATGAAGAGATGCACGATAGTTGCGTCTTTGAAGTCTTGTGGGACTTCATCTTGACGCCACATCTGCTGGAATAGCGCAGTCAGGTGATCCATGAGTTGATGCCCGCCGTGCTTGTAGACCTCAGCTGGGATCGTGTCCGATCCGGGTGTTTTCCCCCTGGAGAGCTGCTGCACGGCACTGATGGTCTCCTGGAGAGATGGCGGGAGGTCGAGGTCCACGTTGGTCTCCACTTGCGGCAAACGCTCGATGGCGGCGTCGAAGATGGCGGAGAGGCGGTTGAGCACGCCTCGGAAATGCTGAACCCATCGCTGTAGAATTTGTGTCTTCTCAGTCAGGAGAGTGCTACCGTCGGTGCTGAGGAGAGGAGGAGTGCCTTTCGTCGGCGGACCGTAGACAGCTATGCTCGCGGAGAAGCACTTCTTTCACTCATTGTGGTCCGCGTAGCCTCGGATTTCCTCAGCTTTGTGAGCAGTCCAGGCGTCCTGCATCTCGCGCAGTCGTTGCTGAAGCTGTCGGCGACTGCGCTAGAAAGCAGCTCTGTTTTCTTTAGTGGAGTGGTCTACGTAGGCTTTGTGTAGGCGGTTCTTCCCGGAGAGCAGATTGCTGATGGCGGCGTCGTTGTCGTCGAACCAGTCCTGGTGTTGGCGGCGGGCGCGGCCGTGGACGGCTAGCGCCTTCTACTGGGCCGTGTCTTGCAGTTGACACCAGCGGTTCTCCACGGAGGCGTTCTCGGCAGTGGCGGGGTTGACAGCGATAGGAAGATTGTCTAGTCGTTGAGCTAGCTCACTGCTGAAATAAAGATGGTGAGCCGGAAAAGACAAGAAGGCAGTATTTAGATTACCTGGGATCGCTTATCTTTTGGTCTCCTGCGGAGCTGTAGGCGAATACGCATTTCCGAGATGACGAGGCGATGGTTGGTCCACCCGTCAGCACCCGCGGTCGCCTTTGTCACTAGCACTTCCCGCTGATCTCGCCTTCGGAGAAGGATATAGTCCAGCTGCCACTGACGCGACCGAGGATACCTCCAGGTGGCCTTCTCTCTCTCCGGCAGACAGAAGAACGTGTTCCTCAGGATGAGGTGGTGTTCTGCGCAGGTGCGGAGAAGCAGCAGACCATTGTCGTTTGAGCCGCGGAGACCATTGGTAACCAGCACTCCTCTCCAGGCAGAATGGTCTGTGCCGACGCGGGCGTTGAAGTCACCAAGGACAGTCAACGTGTCCGCCTTCGATACAGTCGCCAAGAGGGGGTTCAGGTCCTATTAGAATTTGTCTGTTGCGGCGGCGTCGGAACTCCTCATCGGCGGAGTGTAGGCGCTGATGATGATGGCGAATTTGCCTCCACAGAGAGGCAGACAGAGGCTCATCAGGCGATCGTTGATGCCCTGCGGCAAACACTGCAGTCATCCCATGATGTCGTTCTGGATGGCAAAGGCGACGCCCGCGTCCCGTCGCTCTGTCCTGGGCCTACCGCTTTAGAAGAAGGTGTAACCGGAACCCACCTCCTCCACTTGGCCTTGTTCGGAGAATCGAGTCTCGTTGAGTGCGGCGATGTCCACCTTGTATCGCGCCAGTTCCTTGTACCACTAGCGCTGTCCTCCGTTCCGATCGGTTGCTCCTCGGATTGTCTAAAAGGGAACAAACATTCCAGGCTGCCAGAGTGAGCGGATTCACCCTGCCAGTCCGGCGATTGCGGCGGCGAAAACTAGAAGAAGAAGAAGAAGAAGAATAGACCGGAAGAGGAAGATGGTGATTGTTGTTGTTGTTAATGTTGTTGTTGATTCGGTTTTGGTTGTTTCGACCAGCCTGCAGCCTGTCAGCAATTTTTAGGGTACCTTCCCCCACGCGTGGGCAGGCAACGCATCCCTGAACGGGGCTGCCCGGTTATCCCAGACGGCTGCCGGACTCCACTATGGGCCACGAATTTCTGTTAGTGAGTGAACGACCCGAGCTAGCCTGGGACCTTGGTGGTGATGTGATTGAGTTAATTGGGAGAGAGCATACACACCAACAGAATGCTATGGGACTTACAGTTATCTAGAGGACAAGCAGACACAGTCATAAGTCAGAGACAGAAGTGAGAGGGCATCCTTCAAGATCAAGCACAGTAACACCTAGCTATTAGCAGAGAGAGACATAGACTGACAGACAGACATTTGCATCAGGCATCAAGTGTTTCATACATATGTTAATAGACAGACTAACATGAACAGGGCAGGCAACAAGAGCAGCATACAACACGGAACTTCAACAGACAAAAGGAAGAAACAAAGCAAATTCACTTACCGGAAGAAGAACTTACCTGTTGGCCTCCTACGATGGTTCAGGCAGAGCCTCGTCTCGACGATGTCGACGCGAAGATCCATCCGGCCAGCGGAGGCCACAGTGCCGCGTGTGCAGGTGCACGCACGAATACCCTCACCTGGTTTAGCCCGCCTGTCGAAAAGGTTGCTTGGGGTGTGGCCGCTGAGCAGAGCCCAGCTACGTGGAGCCACAGGTGAGAGTTGGGTGCCGGCAAATGGACGCTAGGCGTAGTCTCACCGGCAAGCAAGTGAGCGACCACTACGACCATCACGTAAACCCCCCGTTGACACCCCTACCCCCAACACACACACATACTACTTTAAAAAGCACACTGTTCTGCCTTGGTTACCAAGGCGATCATTAACGACGATGTTCTGTGGGAAAGGAATTCACTGGAACTCTGAATGTTTGACATGTTCTGCTGCTTTCGCATTTCTCGAACACATATCGCAAAAGCTAACAGTTAACTGAAACAGCTGAGTGAAATCTGAATTGTTGCTGACCAATATATTTCTATCCAAACGACGCATTTATGGGAGATTTGGCATATGTTCCTTCAACTGATTGAACATCTCAAATCGCTTGTGTTATTCAATCGTTTAGCAATTTTCATGTTCGCCAAAACACGACTTGAAGCTACAGGTTTTGAGTAGTGATGAAATCGAAAATCTTGTGTTGTCACACAAGCGAAGTAAATTCAAAAACGTGCATAGCAACCACATAAAAACATCTCAAATAAAATGTGTTTTTGATTTTTTTTTATATATGCTGATGTTAGACTGCTTTATTAAATTGAATTCCCACTTGTGGACCACATCTTTTCCAGGTCTTATTCGAAAACACCTGCCAACTCTCCCCGAAATTAGAAAAAGGAAACATGGTGGCAGAGCATACTTAGGACTGAAAATTTGGCGCTTACAAGCCGTCGTCTTGATAGAGAAGCTGGCACAAGAGATAATGGGACCACCTCGGCGCGTTTATCATTTCCCATCCAAGCAGGAACGCACTTTTTCCTTTCTGTGGAAACACATAGAAAAAAAGCACCCGAGAAGACGGTGCGAACTCAATAATGCCGTAAATTAATTGGAACCGCATGACTTAGGCCTTGCCTTTACGGATGCACAGAGGAGAGGAGGAAATCCCTCAAAGTTGAACATGCAGAAGTGGTTCCATGGTCTTTATTTTTAAAAACTCCAAATCTGTAGTGCCTCCTCAGCGAGTAGTCAGCCACACTTTATGTTGACAACATATAAACTGAATTAATGGGAACATCCGTTGTAATGCACTGGATTAGCAGCGAGGAGAACGTTAGAGTAAACACCGCGTAATGGTAAGCGATTCTTAAAACTCAAACTTGGAACGGAGTGATTGGATTAAGTCATTTAGCTTATAAAACGAACATAAGATATCACCCATGCTAACGGAACCTGCAACCATCTATATACCTTTTTAAGCTTCGACGCTGCGTTGAAGTATACAAGATATTTTCTGCCAATAGGCACTTACCGGGAGTCCACGGAAATGCGTAAAAATGTCAACAATAGAGAAGCAATTTCAAGTATTTAAAAATACAATAACGCACAGAATTCAGACACCTCAGGCAAACTAACTTTCACTGGCAGCAGAGTGCCCCGCATAGTAAGGCTTAGCTAACGTACAGCGGATATGTAAATTTCAGATCCTCTCCCAACTTGGCCCTCATAACAACTGAACAGACGAAGATGCAATCGCTGAAAGAAGAGGGGTGTGAGTCTGACTCTTCAGATCCTACCTGAACCCAACTTTAAAGCCAGACGAAGGCAGAGGTGGCGTAAGCGAAATGTTAGACCTGATATGTAATAATACTCCTACGATGAGAATCAGTTCATGCTTCCATCGCTGGGTGACACATTTAATGCCGTGATTTCTTTATCCCGTATTCGAGTTTGTTATTGCCGCAATCTTTCATGGCTGTCCAGGTTTTGTCGTAATAAGGACTCGGATACGAGGTATGTCCTTTTTTCGTTATTTTTAATATGTAAATTTCAGATCCTTTCCCAGCTTGTCCTTCATAACAACTGAACAGACAAAGGTACAATCGCTAAAAGAAGAGGGGTGTGAGTCTGCCGCTTCCGATCCTATTTGAACCCGACTTGAAAGAAAATCGGTGGCAGGGATGGCGGAAGACCAGCGAGTGTAGCTGCTATGTAATAATACCCCCTCCCCATCGCTGGGTGTCACATTTAATGCCATTTAATGCGTTCTTACCCTGAATTCGAGTCTGTTATTGCCCCGATTTTTTATGGCTGTTCATGTTTTGTCGTGATAAAGACTCGGATCCAAGGTATGTGTTTTTTTCGTTATTATAAATACAACGAAATTAATAGCAAACCAGATTTTCTTATACTATTCACAGTGGGTCTTTGCATTCTGTTATTGAAACCGTGTCGCATAAAAGACGCACCAATAGCTTGGGTAACAATTGTCCGGTCTACGCGTTACTGTGTCACTTTTGTCTACGCCATATATGATAACGCCCAAGGCAACTATAAGATGCCCATTTAAATGTGAAATGGGGATCTACAACTGAACATATTTATAGGAAGAACCATAGCATATGAATTACAGACGATCGGATGATTAGTTTAAATTCAGAGCAGCATCAAACAGCTGTAACGGCTGAGAACGGATTCTGCTAGCAGTTTTTAACAAAACTTAGCAAAGTGCCGTTTAAGAAGGCGAAACGAAACGCGTGGCTGGAAAGCGCTAACTGACTCAACATCTAAAATGTCTTTGAAAGTAGTAGCTTTCGACTATGAAGCATTCACTAGAGAACATGTTCATAGCACTGCCTTGTAATAATTATCCTACCTACCGAAATATTAAACGACTTCCTGAAAAACATCTTTAATCAGAAAATGTTTGCGTCGACTTGGATTATTAATTATCGTACAGAACAATCCAAAGTTAATTCAGCCCAGCAGTAATAACGACCTTGTAAATGGTCCTTTTTGAATAACTACAGAAACCACACCCGTAGAAGACTAACGAATACATCCAGATGCTTGAATCTGTCCGTAAATACGGACGTCAACAAGAAGAGGAAGCTATATAAAAGAGCCCCCCATTGGTCAGACGACAGAATCCCTGAGGAGTCGTAAGTTACAGAGAAACCGGTTCAAGGCCCCACCTTATTTCGCTTTTTCATAAGTAACTGTGTCACGGACCTAGACTGTGAAGCCATCCTGTTTGCTGATGAATGAAAGTATAGAATGTTGTTCACAATGCGACAGACGCAGACCACCTGCAGACAAACTTGAACAGGCCTGAGGATTGGTCGAAGCGCTGGCTTTTGCCTTTCAATATGAGCAAACGCAAATTTCTTCAACTCGGCCGCTGCAGAGCCTCCAGCTCGATGATTTACCTTCTCCACGGTACTCCACTGCAATACGTTAACAGTTAGAAGGTTTTGGTTTTCCAAATGACATCTTTACTCCAACCAACATTGTACGGTGTAAAGGCGGTTAAGTCGGCTCTGGCTGCATTGTAAGTCATTTATGGGATTTGGCGCTGACAGCTTTTGTAAAATATTTGGCACTGCGTGTGGCCTTTTCTGGAATCCGCCACACAAGCATGGAGACCTTGGACTATCAAGAACTTATAGTTTTTGGAAGGGTAGCAGAGTTGTTGCGGCTTGGAATGCTTTGCCCGCGGATGTTGTCATGTTGGGATCCGTGGACACTGTTCAACGCAGGCTAGATCAGCATTTGAGCGCGCACCACAATAACGCCGGACTACAGCCACCTTGATAGCCATTGTCGACAATTTAGTGTTAAGACTATGCTACTACAAATACTTAAGTAACATATGTTTATGTAATTTATTAACTTCGGCCCACCTCGCACACCGCTGCCCGCATTCACTACGATGCCGTACGAGCGACAAAATGAGAAAAGGTGTCGGAGCACTGCCTTAGGAAAGCAGACTGTCCAATCTCAGCCTGTTTCCCCCTTCCCATAGACAAATATGCGATGGCCTTTTTCCAACATTGTGCATTATAAACGGCATAGACTGTTGTTTACATCCCAGTGATTACTTTAAGCAATTAACACGCGGTCATCCCCTAAGACTACGCGTAGGTAAGCAAGGATCAATGGACGTAAGTTCTTTTCTCAGCAACAAAGGGGTTACAGCGTAGAATGTCCTGCTTACGGATGTTGTACTTTCCTCCTGAGTGGACATTTTCAACTATAGACTCTACGCCTATCAAGTTTCCCAATTACAAGCCGCACACTTTGTCACTTCAGCTATCACCAACTTATATACATATATACTACTTACAACGAGTGGTTACTATTTTCCGATTGCCTGACACCTGCCTGCCTTTCACATGCAATTATGTACAAAATATCTTTTTCAACTTCCTACTTGCCAGTGTTTTTCTCAAATGATTTGTTTCCAATAGGGAGTTTAAAAGTGCTCGCTTATGTTTCCCTTTATAAAACTAAACTAAATAAACTGTATAACTATTTCCCTCCTATTTTCGCGACCCTTAGAAATTAAAATATATATTCTACAAAATAACTGACCATTTATTCGTTTTTGCAATCCTATGGTAGAAAAGTATGTTTTCTGCAAGTTTTTTTACTTTATAACGCATCATCATGAGGATTTAAAACGCTTTTAATTAAGATTCTTTTAAGACCGTAAATATTTATTTATACAGCGTCATGTTTTTTTTCTTTTTAAATGTTGTTAACAACGTGTGCATTAAGAGTTGCATTTACTGCAATAATTCTTTGCACAGCAAAATATGTGATGTTATTAAAACTAACCGTGTGCTACTGAGATTTGCAAAACCTACGCGCAAGGAAAATTGTTGGCTAGGTTTAAAATTATTCGAGGATTGGATGTTTCCTTACACACGAGAGTTAAATGACTTATTCACATCCAATAGAATTGATTTTGGTGGCCAGAGGCAGTTACCCATCATTACCGCGGCTATAGCTAGACTAGAAATGATGTGACAGGAAAGCCTTTTAGTGAAACGGACACCCAAACACCGAGCAATCCTAAAGCATCCGAGTAGGGTATACGCTATCTTTAAAAAGTCCCAACTCGGTCGTCCGCCTTTGGACCCTCTCTATTTTGGATCGGTGTGCTTCAAGACAAGTCTCTGCGTTTCAGGAGTGCGGACGGTGTTTCGTGTGTGTAGCTTTTTAAACATATTGCAAATGCAGTTCGTGGGGATCGAACCCCAACTAGATTTTTGAATTTATTCATAGCTGCTGCATCACGGCAACAAATTGTTCAGAACTGCTAAAGATTGAGAGAATGTAGGCCTGAAGAACTGGTCATACACATAGTCTGGAAAATTATCGTAACTATGAGGACAGGAGTTTCCGACGACGTGAAAATTCATCGCACGCGTATCTTTCAAATGGCAACACACCTCCATCACCCGTTTAATATACAGACATCCTATAGTCATAAAGAGGCCGACTCGGGAATGCAGTAGACGCGGTATCTCATTCAGTAATAACCAAAATAATAAATTAAGTTTTTATTTTGATTAGACTGCCTAAGTAGAGTTTTCATATAGGTTATGATGACGCATAATTTTAAGACAATCATAACATGATACCGGCTTTCGGACGAGCATCTTGTCAACCACATGCATAATTCACGTTCTGCAAAAACGATTGCTTAAGAGGCATGGTCTTCCCCTTTGCTTTGTGATATTCTTTGATATCCAAAGTTATTTCACAAAAGAAACCTAGCGAATGTCGTTTTATTCTACTGATCTGATAGAAAATGACATTTTCTATTAATTTGATTCCCACTACCATTGCCCACGTTGAGCTTACACTTGGGACTAGGACAGCGCAACCAACGCCTAACAAAATTTATTGATTTCCGAAGTATTCGTAACATGACCTGCCGTTTCGCATGCATTTACACTTTCCAAACTACCAGCCGTTTGAATTTCATATAGTGGAAACCATACAATCCTATATGGTCAAATTTTGAAATAATTGTACACCATGTTGTCCATCTTATTAATAGCATCAAAATGTTCTGAGCTGATGCTGTATGATTAGGCGTTTCACGGTCTTGAAACTACTTACAAGTCGACACCCGGTGAGAACATAAAAATACGTCTTCAAGTGTAAGAGTCGACAAAGACGTAATGAACTTCTCAATCAGTGGGAGAAAGTGTATTTTGTTCGTGATTTTTACAAAATGCATTTCAGTTTATTATTGTATTGAAAATTAATTCAAAAAATCACGCCACTTCATTGATACTTCTAACGGAACATTAGTCGTGCAGGCGGCCGATTTGTAGCGTGTTTAAATGCCGACACCATTCCGTAGTTTGAACACCTTGGCAGTGCCAAACATGATAAATGATAGAAAACCCCGCCTAATTAGACTTTTTAAATTTAAAACGCACTTCAGAATTTCAGTCCACATTTCGTAAGATAGCCCATCCATTGTATATTTTCCTGGAACAAAATTTCGTCCATCTCAAACTTTGAAATTCAATTTCAGGCTCTCTGGCGACCTCTTGGTCATGCGGTCAAAATTTGGTGTATTTTTCTAATGTCATGTGGTGTACTCCTCGGGCTGTTTCGTTTACTGTTTACGTCTTTTTAAATTATCCACTATTAGGAAAACACTAATGATTTCGCACACCATACTAAATAACGTTGATAAATCTACCGTTCTACTGCATAAATTGGGAATGGATGAGAATTCCATAACGCCATGTTCCATAATCTCTTCAACAACGATCATGGCGGTTAATTACCACGTAACCAGAGGGAAGAAATTTGACGGGAAGCAAATTTTGCTGCAAACTTTGGGTGTCATGCCACTGTGAAGTGGGTTACTGGCAGTGCCAATTGTAAACCCAGGGCTTGCAAATTAAGCAGAAGTTTTCAAACCACGGACCTTGATAACTCGATGCTCATTAACATCTAAGACACACCCGGACTCCATTCGCATATCATCAAAGCACCAATAACGTTACTCTCCGTTTTCACCCTCCAACCAGCCAAAACGCCCTGATAATGTGTTAACAAATAGAATGAAGTTGAACACGCAGATAGGCACCTCCGTGCTACAGCTGACCCTTCGCTCAACTCCTGGAGTGCTTATTCCCGTGACATAACCTTGGCTTAAGCTCTAACCCTTGTCGTAACACTCAGTCATCTAACGCCGACTTTACTTTTCTCAAGCCATAATCTAACGCTACAGCGCCTATGCCAACCGCGCCCCCAACCCCACTGGAATCTAACACGAGACTGCCTGTCATATGGGATATTTATTTCTGTTCCCTAGCCAAATGCTTTCAATTAATTAGTTTGTTTAGGAGTTGCAAACTTAGTTACTCCACGGCTTTATCAAACCTGGCTTAACTAACTGTAGAACTCGCTTTGAGAAACTTTACATGTAGTATTGGTCGGGTTTCTTTCTTCACGGAATTCTCCTTAGTGAATTGTTGCAAACATGTATTCCTGACATGTTGTATAAATATAAAGGTGGCTTTCGATAAAGCGTAAGTGTATGCATAATGAAAAAAGCTTTAATGGAACCATGCCACTTTTCAGCACTGTATACATGCGGCTGTTGTAATGTGTGCCTAAAATGGTAAATACAACATAAGTGTTTTAGAGGTGATCGCGAAGAAGAATGTTAAATTCCAGCGTTATCGTTTAGAGATATCCACGGAATAACAGAAATTTTTAACAATTTTCTAACGAATAACATAGAATGGCTTAAAGGTTGGGTGACAAATCAAACACGAAAAAACACAATGGTAATAGCAGGCATTCAAGCATTATTTTTAAGACTTCCTGTTCGGATTCAACGTTTACGTACCTAATCAGTCCTCACATATGCAGGTGTCACCTGGATATTCTAAAATTTATAGGAAAATTACAGTACGTCATAGGGCGTCTCGTGCCAAAGTCTTCAAGTACCTTCTGGGTATGAGCACCGATACAGTAAGACTCAACCCCCATGCAGTGTTGCTTTCGCAACATAAATCCTCATGTGCGTGATTTGGGCCGTGAAAGAATTGTCTGCCCAAAAGTCCTCATGCATTTTCTGACTGCACGTGGACAATGACCAACAAATTTAGTAAATGCAAACGTGTTATGTTCGCTTCTTTGGAGATTTTACTTCGCAGCCACTGATTCTGCTGAATTTCTTACTTCATAAAATAGACTCTCACTTTTGCTGCTCAGATTTTCGAATTACAACATTTTTTAAACAATTCTCCCTTCAACACAGACTCGGCAGATTGCAGAAGAAAATAGCGACATGCCATATTTTTAGATAGTTCGTGAACTTTACTTCGTTAAGTTGTAGTGGATATCCGATTGCTTTTAAAAATGTCACAGAAGGATAAAAGACCACAGACGTCAAAGAGCGTATAACATTCAGCCCATATTTACAAACTGCGGACAAGAATTTGACTGACTTTTCTTTCTTCAATATTGTTATTGTATAATGTTAAATTGCTAAAGAGGCGAAAGAACTACAGGTTACGTCACATATTAACTTAAGTCATTTTTAGATTTAGACATTGAAATCTTTCTAATGGAGCATTAAATCCCTGTTGATGTTCCAGCGGCCGATAATCCATGATGGAATTAGGCTATTTTTCTGCCTAACGCACGTTCATAAGAAGCTAATTGAGAGTTCAACAGCCAAGGCAGTCGTTTTTGCTTCATACAAAAAATATGTTCAGTACAGAAAACGATGTTGATAACGAAAGGTGCATATAAGGGACTGCGCGTGCTAACTCTTTGAAAAATTACACAAAATCTTTCTTTTGGGAATATCTACATAAGTAGAATTTTGCCTGCAAAGCGAATTGTCTAGTCCTCTCCAAAATTTCGCCCTTAGTTCTACTCATGATAACTCGCTTCGGAAACTTCATGATATGTTTGATTTTACTTCTGAGCAAACTCAATGTGTTCATCCTTATCTCAGTAATTGTGAACGTTAGCATCATCTATTGATAAAATTGTTGAGCTATCAGCAAATAGGTAGGTTTGGCTTTTTAATGAGATCCGGGCCTAACATTTTGGTTCTCAAGGATAACTATGTGATAAGCCTCGATAGTCGCCAATGATACATGAAGGAAACGCCAAGCGGAAAACGTCTTTTTGAGTTTGCGACATTTGCAAATAAAATGCAATAGTTCTGATCGATATTAAGTGCCTGCTCAAGTTCTTAATTTTTTACACGCTTGACTGAACCGCACTGTGCCCTATGAATAGGACATCTTGTGGCTCATATCAAGGGCTCACTAAGTATATCCATACGTCTTTTTACACGACCATCACATGCGTTTTTGAAGTGAACGTTTTAAAAAGGACAAATGAGCAAGTGTATATATACTTAATGAGACAAAATATAACATAATGAGCAACGAATGATACTGATATCATTCAAAAACGTCTAACATTTCACAGAAACGTAAAGATCACCACTGCGTTAAGTTAATTTTAACATTGTAATACTGCCAACTGTCTTCCAAAAGGAATAGAATTCACTCTTGCAACTTTACGTTGTAATTAATGGATGACATGTTTCTCTATACGAACATATGCTTCGTTGTGCATATAAGGCAGTAGCACCTTAGCATGACACAAGGTACACGGAAACTAACTGAATTACTCCGCCATTTATTACTAACGAAATAATCTAATGCCGCTCTAAACTCGACATTTTTTCGTTTCAACAAATTTCGATCGGAACAAAAATTCTCGAATGATTCCTTGTATGTTAAGTTCAAACTATTCTTTGGCAAAGTTTCTCACTCCTACACACTGCACGTTTGCCTAAAAGTACATTTTTTTAAAACAAGCAGAAACCTTTCGCATTGTCTTAGTCGAATTACATAGCTTTGTGTGCTTTTATATGTAAGATGATGATTAAGGACAAACTATTTCTCGATGACCTAGACCGAATCTGAAAAAACATATTACCTCCTTCCCATGTGATTCTGATTGACATGTAGCTTCCCATAGCATTGCAGAATACATATTGGTCAGGATAATACTCATTCGGCTCTGTTCTGAAGACTGTAGTTGAAAAAAGGACCGTGTCCTCGTCTACTTCTCGTCTGTCTACAACGAATATAGGGAATTATAACATAACTTTTGTGTTTAGCTTATACTGTGGACTGCAGTCAATCGTATTAAGATGGCCGATATAATTTAAGGGACAGAACTCTTACCGCATGTGCGTACTTTATCGTTGTATTCACAGAAGACCGTATTCAGATCAAATATTACTACCTGTAAACAAAAGTAGGCATGACTTTTTCAGTTTAAAAAACTTTAACGTTATCCATTTTAAGTCAAATACGCACATCCTCGAGGTTGTAAGACCGTTCCTTTGATATAGCGCATTGCACTATAGTTTCGGACCCTTCAGTTAAATTTCGGATTAGCGGCATCGTATGCTGAGGCGAAATGCATCCTGAAATTTTAAAAAATTACGTTTCTAGAAGTGTACTTAAAGCAAATTCACTGATGTTTAGTTAAGAACTGACACCTACCTTTCTCTTCAACTGACCAGTTTCCATTCGGCACCAAGTATTGCGTAATACGTGTCGTTCTACGGTGCGTCCGCAACCTTTCTACTTCATAGCCAATCACGAAGAACTTTTCGGGCTCACAGATTTTGGCTTTCACAAGATAGTGGTTTCCAACTAAAATTTGACGAATGCGGCAGTTTCGTTATGAAGTCACTTGTTGAGGATAACTAGCATTTCGCAATAAATAATTGTGAACTTTGCGTTGCAGTAACTCATAAATGCCCTGGCGTGTTTGATGAAATAAATAATTAAGCACTTGCAATTTTGCGGTAAACTTGTTTGGGGCTTATCAGTGTCATTTTTAGTTTATCATTGTCTACTTAGATATATAGACACCCTAAATGTCATTTTTAACTTAATTGCAGTCTTTGGATAGAAATGGCTAATTGCCAGTTCTTCAGTGTATTTACGCTAAAACAGCTTTCAAAATTTTGCCGATGGGCTTGAATGCTGGTGGCCCAAGTAATAAAGTTTCAGAGTTAGGCGAGTTTTTTAGGAAGGTCAACAAAACTTTTCGTAATGCGTAGGCTTAAGTATCACCATGCCGTCATTAGATATAGGAGAAACAGGGCGATCAGTTACTTTATTTAGTCGTTTGTTTCCTTGTGTACAACGCTCTCCTTGTGCTTGAAAAAATGTCGATTGTGGAATCGGTGCGTACTTCATGCGAGAATGTGAACATGCAAATTTTTCGACATTTCCTATACCCAAGCAAGATCGTAAGAAACAGAAGAGAGTCCACTTGACACTCTGATGACTGAATAGAGCATTATAACCATATGAGCTGACAAGTTACCCTTGTTGTTATGCCGCACTTGGAGGCAGGGATCGAAATACTCAATACACTTATCCGTATTTAAGCTGTATTTTTCTCCGCTAATCAGGTTTGTACAAATACACTGAGGCTGCATACTTAACATAATGCAAGATTTATTCTTGTCTGTCTATAAAATCTTAATTCAAAGCCACTATGAATATATATTGCGTGTAGTATTACTTGGAGGTGAGGAGATATGTTGCATTAAAAGCAGTTCATTACGGTGACAAACATCTACCGGACACAACAATTATCGCCATAATTAAAGTACAGCACGTGAACTGACTGATGACTCCTGATAGCGGAAACAGGTATAAGAATTTCAGACACCTTAAGCGCACACTCTCCCAACCCCTTCCGGCAAATGCCCATTTATTTAGCAGGAAATGCGCTTAAGTAACTGTATCCAGCTAAACACTTACAAAGTTTTAAGAAAGCGGACAGTACGATATATTCGGGGACTTTTCTATTTTAATACCCGTCACAGGCTTGGGTCGGGAGTCGAAGCGTGTGCTCCTTAGAGATTAGAGGAATGTGTCTTCCAGCGTTCTGTCCGCCGTGGCTTACCGCTTACACCAATTGAATACTTGCTTAGAAGTAGTCTTCGGAATCCTTTTGGTGCTAAACTGGCAACTTTATGTGAGTTCACGTCCTAGCGTGTAAAAACAACGTACATGGTCAACGCTGCATCTAAATGGACCAGGATTATTTTGCCATTTAAAAAACTTCATGGGTTGACACCAAATTAACTATCACCGAATAATGATTTTCAGTTTTGGACATATAGAACGTTATTACTTTTGTAGTTTATTTTCTGTGTATACAAAATTTAGAAACGGAACGAACAAACCAATATTTTAGGTAAAATGGCAGTTTTTATGTAGTCTTTGAACAAGGCCTAAGATTAATCAGAGACAACAAAAATAGCCATAATATAGCGAGAAAGGAACGTTCTTCCATTGTCGGCAGAAAAGTTCTTTTAGTAACTTACACTGACCTGAAAGAAACGTCTGGACGTTTCACATTTTTTCTGACTTCACTGTTTAAAAATCGAGATTATGCAGATATCAGTCAATCGGCCACATCGTTAGAGCACCATTTGGCAAGGTAGCTTATTACCTGGGTTTCCCAGTTGGTCGAGAGCATATTTGGTATTGCCTTTCTCGTAAAGTTTAGTTGTCTGAACAATAAATCTCTGTGAGTGCGTGAATATTTTACTTTGACAAAAAGAACCATCACATGAAGGAGGACATTCAAATAATCACAAATGTGATAAACAGTATTTAATTCATTTACGGTTTTAATTCTCCTACATTTTGTTCATTAAATTTAATATGTTTATTCATTTGTGCCGGCTTGTGAGTGATTATCTGTCATTTGGAACTTCCGATGCCTTTCATCATGTAAGTTACCTGCTTTATGTTGATTTTTGTTTATAGATTACGGATGATCTATCGGGGACATATTTAAATCTTTCACCCTAGATTTACAAGATCAAGTTAATCCGTTTGTGCTAAGTGGCTGTGACCTTTGATACCTTAATTGATGCGAAGAATGTCATTAGGTTTGTAAGTAAACCTGTATCTGTGGAAATGAGAGGAGCATTATGAAAACTTTGGTAAATTCCGCATGGTATTTTTAACTATACGGAAACAAGGTAGTACAGTTTTTAGGATGAGAACGATTATGTTTCATACTTTTGTTACCAAATCAGCCAGAGATTTTTTAGTTTGCTGGAAGTAGGCATATTTCCGTACGCTCTTTTAACTGTGTTTGATATGTTTTGCCCCAATAGTAACGCGTATTTAAGGTTAAAGTTCGCGCAGTCGGGGAGGTCGGAATATACTTCACCAAGTCTAATTTGGATCATTTGTGTTTTCTCCCCTTTTGGCTGTTTTTGCGATTTCAGTTGCAGCCTTATTTATAATAGTTAGGCGAATGTTTTTCCAGTACGTTCATTTGCGTCTCATCATCACTAGAAACACATCAAGCCGACCGTGCTACCTGGTGAACCGTTAGTCCATCCATTGCCATTAAGGGCGTGCTGGATGCCCGCGTGTTTCGTGTTCTGATTAAGGGACCAAGAGAGGATGTTTTTAAGGAGAAACACATTTTCATGTTGGTCATTTAGCAAAGGCAATCTGTGATCTAATGTGTACTAATGAAACACTCCATCTGGAGCGGCGTTTTCTCAGTTTGCTCGGGGCTTTAACTCACCATTGGCAGTCAGTTATACAGGCCTCAGTCAATGGTCTAAGATAATGTGTGGGTCTTCATCGACTTCCAGTTTCCGTTATTTTGATTCTAACTGCGGGACGCGTGCCTTCTTTATTTGGGGATGCCACCACATTTGATGCCATGTCACAATTTTAGTGACACAGAAAATGCTGATTATCCGCTCGCCCATCTGCTCCACATCAGAGCGACAAGGGTATATCTTAAACCCTTGTCCGGCCAATAACTGGATCTAAAATATAGACCGATGAGGATGTGCTCGTCTCAGCAGAATGCCTCATGCGTGTAGTCATTGAATATCATTTAAGGAATGTATGCGCTGGTTACGGAGGAAAGTTGTATGTGGTAAACTGGGGCCCATTTTAATAGAGACGATGTTCGATTCTATTCAGAGGGGACAAGTCAACATTGTGAGGACGTCGAGTCTATTTACGACGGTGACTCCAGCATGTGCAAACACTTCCCCATAACGTTTACCACAGAAGATGCCCGATGAAAATCCATCGCTGTCTGTTGTCTTATATCCGAAAAGCGTTTGAGGTTTAGCCCAGCGATGCCCACATTACAAGGAGTCAGATATCTTTTAGCATAAGTGCTATCCTCCATTGGTTATTAGGTAGTTGGCTACATCCTCCCTGTTCAAACATTCTAATTTGACAGGTGGAACGACGTTGGGTTGCTAAAAGACTAAGCAAAATGGAGAAGGTGGTCTTTTTGTTTAAGAAAGCTCATTCATCTCTGGATCTTGATTTAAGATGAAATGAGCTTACCTAAACAGGACCACGGAATCCCAGCTGCTAATTTGGAAAATGACCCTAGTTGGACTTAACGCCTAGACGTATACAGCTGCTTGCAGCGTGTTTCACTTTTGAGAAAATACAAGTTGGATAACTAATCAAAACAGTTGCTGGATTAGGGTTAATTGCCGAAGCAATTACAGGAGGGTGTCAAACAAACAGAGCGCAGCATAGCCAAAGCTAAGGTTTTATCTTGTCATATGGCATACATAGATATAAACAAATCCGAAATACCTTTTTGCTGTGTGTATTCGACTTCATAATAGCGGTCTCCAGGAGCTTTACACATTCCTCCGTAGCAATTGTAGCGCAACTCGTCAACAGCTAAATTCTAAGAAAAAAATGCTTTTCTCGATATGAAAATATAAGGAGACATTTATAAATCAGGCGCAAAATTTAAGCTGCATAAAATGTTCGTAGCCATATCGACTAACTAATCCAATATCCTATCTGCCTTTTATGTATAGGCGAGCAACAGCATACTAAGCCAAGAAGCAGAAGTCAACTATTTGCAGTAGATTTTTAATGTCGTAAAATGTCGACCGAAATTACAATATGTAACCTTGATCAGAAAACATTACTTAAATAGATTTATGACATCGCTTATTGGGCGGTAAAGTCCATATATATTATAGCCAAAGGAGGATGCCGGCTTTATGAATACACTTATTTACTACACCTACAAATACTAAATTTTAAAAACATGACCTCTTAAATAACATGCATTTTATCCGCTGATTTTTGCTACCGCCATTCACATTCGTCTTATAGAAAACAATCAAAAACAGATATGCGCGGAGTTGCTAGTTACTTACGGTCTGTTTCGATTTTATGTTTGAAATGGGCAAAAGTTGATGTTTGGAATGATCTTCAATTCTCGCAACATTTTGAAATCAACCTGGTACTCCTCTTCCGTTTAGGATTTCCAATCTCTATACTGCATATTTTTTGTCTAGTCAAATTTGTGCATTCTTATTTGTTATTAAAAATATGAGGGCGTTGTCCGGCTT